GGCAGGGTTGCAGACAGAACCAGGATTGCAGGGCATTGACAGCGTGGGGCTTGGGGCCCAGGACAGAACCATGAGCCACTCCCTGCATGTCCTTGCGATGGGCAACAATTCTGTGGGCAGGAACATGCAGGAGGCAGATTGTGAATCCTGGTCCCCACCCATCCCACTCTCTAACACCACTCCCCACTCACCCATGTCCCCATCCCATCCAGCTGGCTGAGCACACCCTTTCCATGGGTGTCCCAGCTACACTGGCAGTGGCAGCTGGAAGAAGCCACCACTGCCAGGAAGTGGAGTTCAGCTGCTGTGCTTCCCTAGCCCTGCTGCATGTCCAGGGGGCAGCAGGACCAACCGCATGTGCCACAGCCCAGGCTGTCCCCCAAGCCTGGTCCAGGTGGGGCTGAGGGACCCATGGCAGGCCACACAGAATCCCATGGTGGGCCAGATTCAGCTGATGGGCCATATTTTGCCCACCTCTGTCCTATAGGGATGTTTGATTTTTTTTTTATGGGCTGCACTGAAAGAAAGCATGATTCTCCACTAGGAAGCACCAAGCCAAAGTGTACCAGTTTTACAAAATGGAAAAAAAATAATGCAAGCCACAACAGTTACATGCATCCCATAGGGTTATTTCCCTCTTTGTAATAATTCTTTTCTTGACTTGCATAGAAATTAAAAATCTTTTCTCCATGCTGCTAAATGTTTATCTTTTTGCTTCTGCTCCAGATGAATTTTTCAATGCACTTGGCAATGGCTTAAACCTGACCAAGTGTGGGACAGGACCAACAGTAAATCTCCATTGACCTCAGTGAGGAAGGGTCAGGATATTGCTAAGTGGTTTTGAAACTCCCACTCACAGTACTTGAAACAAAATACTTCTTACATGTATTTTAGCAGCTGACAAGTTTTAGTTAGAATCTGGTGTTCCATAGACTAAAATGCCTATGTCCATGTTGTAAGTCTAGGTGTGGTACTTTGCCCACAGGCACTCACCATTCGCTGACTTGCAGTTGCTTTAAAATCTGTCAGAGGTCACTTTGGTCAAGACTTAGATTTGCTGATTTCCAAATATGCATTGAAAAACAGACAGGTCAGCTGTACAGGACAGAGCCATGTGGTAGAACTACTAGAATGAATTAAGTGCCCCATATTTGAGGTGAAGACTGCAAAAACAAAAAAACAAAAAAAAAAGTGGATAGCTGAGTCTATTAAGAAAATCTGACGCAAGAATTTCTTAGGGTGATATCTTTTATTGAACCAATTATGTATTTGGAATAAAGTTACACAAGATTTGGAATGTGAGACATTCTTCTTGTCTAACTTTATTCCAACTAAGTAGTTGGTCCGATAAAAGATAGCACCCTAAGACATTCTTGCCCCTTTCATAATTTTTGGATCATCACAGATACAATAACACTGTTACACTACCATAACATTAAAAAAATACCCTTCCTGTGTACTAGATGGATAAAACCGCTTCCCTTTGGTCTAGTTAACTGCCAAGAAAGATGTTTCTTAGGAAAACAATTCCTACAGCTGGATCACAGAATGAAAAAAACTGAAACAATGCAGAATAAAATGCAGCTCAATCTGCTGCCCTGTATGAGAGAAATGCACAAACATATAGAAACATTCTCAAATATTTAAATAATTCATCTCAACTACTCAGTAACATGAATGGCATCACTGACTTCCACAGAACTGTGGTGATTTACAGCAGGTGAGAAACTGGTCCAAGAAGTACCATGTAACATTTCTAAAACCCCCCTAAATACAGGTAGCTATGGGCTCAGCTGAGGATGCTATTTGGATGCAAAGAGTAGGTGGTGCATAGACCTTTCTTGTGCTGATGGAGTTTTCCCTTGTAGACATCATTTTATCAGGACGAACAATCTCACAACTACTTGAACACTCAAAAGTTTTGTGAACAACTGGTGGGGTAATGCTGATGCTTGAAGAAGCCTTTTTTCAGAATGTGGATTGTATGTTCATAGGCTATACAGTAATGTGATCTGTAGTATGTACATACTGAGGCAAGAAGGAATTTTGGAGTTCCTCGTTTAGATAACACTATGAAAGTCAAACAGTCCATGAAAAAAACAGAGGTTTCTGCAGCTGCTGGCTCGGTCCTCTCAGCCTCTGCTCCGAGTTGGAGGTAGCTTCTTCCTGGCAGCACCGGACTTTCTTCAGCTGTGCCCTTCCTGAGATGCTAACATGGAAGCAGGTTTTTCTGGAGGGCTATGGAATGGCAAGCCACCAGGGCAGGGTTTGATATGGGTCCTAGACCAAAGCTACTAGGTTTTCCTTAACTGAAAGGTTCCTTCCAGAGGGCAGTCAAAGAAAGACATTAAGGGACTCAAAGGTTGGGCTATTCCAGGGGTTTCAAACTCGGGCCCCATGAGCTGGATGAGTGGCACAGGGCCCATCCTCAGGCCAGATCGGGCACACAGACCAGTTCTGCGCACTGGATCCAGTGCATGAGGCCAGTTTGGCATCGGTGCTGTGTGCAGCATGCATTCCAGACCTGCCCCACATGCAGCCAGGGACTAGCCCTGCAGCAAGCATGCTAGACCCAATCCCATGCAGTATGTGCCAGCCTCACCCCATGCACCGTCTGCAGTAGGTCCAGCCCTGTATGTTGTGAGCAGTGCATGCCAAACTAGCGACATGCACTGCAGGTAGCATGCAAGTTCATTCCGAGATCCACAGACAGCCCTGCAGGCCAGATGATAGGATTCTGTGGGCTGAATCTGGTCCACAGGCCACAATTTGACACTCCTGGGATACACAGTATCATAACTTCTCTGATGACAGAAATCTGTGGGCCCATACAAAGGGTTTTTCTGCTACCTATCCAAGAAGTTCAGCATTGTTGGTGGGACAAGGGCAGTTCCCAAACTCTCGTTTTCACCTGGCACTATTTTCACCTGAACAATTAGGAGTTATGCTTGCAGTGAACACGTTCCCTCATGAGGGCAAATGAAAAGATACTCTAGGGAAATCTTCTTGAGAAGAATGGCTGTAACTATCTAGAAGCATGGCTAGCATCTATTCTTCTCACTGGGAAGACACAAGCTAATCTTGGAAAAGTTGGACAGGGTCCTGATTTGTGAATAGGCTTCTAGGGAATATCATAATATACATAATAAATAATAATAATAAATCATAGAACAGTAGTGTTGGAAGGGACCTCAGGAGGTCATGTAGTCCAACCCCTGTTCAAAGCAGGACCATCTCCAAGCACATCATCCCAGCCAAGGCTTTGTTTAGCTAGACCTTAAAAACCTTGAAGGATGGAGATTCCACCACCTCTCTGGGTAACCTATTCCAGTGTTTTACTACCTTCCTAGTGAGAAAGTTCTTTCTAATATCTAACTCCCTTGCTGCAACTTGAGACCATTGGCTCCTTGTTCTGTTATCTGTCACCACTAATGTGACAGGGGGCTGGCTCAGGGCCATGTCTCAACATCAGTCCACCCACCTGTCTCTGGGGCAGTCCACCCAGTGTCACCTGCCACGACTTGTTGTACAAATAACTGGTGTAAACGCAGGAGGCTTCCCAGTTAATGCCCCAATGCCTAGGGCGTTATACATGGCTCCGACCTCCCCTACCATGTCCCATGTTTCACAGATGGCATCCACTAGGTGGCCTCAGCCCCATGCTGGGCCCTAAAGTCTGGTGTTCGGCCCCAACCTGAATCCCTCCTCTCAGGCGGTCTACTCTGCCTTCATTCTGGGCTGTCAAGCTCCCTGAACCCTTCCTCCCTCTCAGCAGTGGCCCCCTGAACTTATCTGACGGGAAAGGCCCAGAATGACATGGACTACCGAATAACTGATGGGCTAATGCCCTTTTAATGAGCTTGCAGCCACCAAAAAGGCCTAATTTTTACCAAAATAATGATATTTTAAAATCTGTTTCACTGCCTTTATTTGAGGGAAGCACATTTCAATAAGAATACTCTTTCTATTATGATCTACAAAAGTTCCTTCTTCGTGATATTTTAAATGTGGGATTTTTAAAATGATCGCTATTTTAAACATTCACACTGTTTTTCTTCAGTTTCCAGATGTACCTTAGTGTGGAAGAGCTACATGTTTCTTAAATAACGAACGCAACTGCAAATAATCTGGCAAAGTTTATATCTACAGTCCATCACATGAAAGGTACTCGAGAGCCACCTTGGAGATTAAAAAATAACTCTCTATCGTACCCTCAACCAACCAAACCTGGAATAGAAAACCTGGAAAGGAAGTTTATTGATAGAACACAATGGGATTTCAAGCAACACTAAGATATGTCAGACTGCTATAAGAAAATGTTACGTAAAGCTTTTTTACAGCTGGTGACTGTGTGTGTTAAAACAGCATTTGGTTTAGAATCAGAAATAAGTTTTGGAGATAAAAGGACTAAAGAATAACTATTAAGCAGTCAGTGTATGCACTGACAATAAGAAGTCTGATGTACCATGTACATATTAGATTAAGGGCAACATGTTCAAGTGTTCCCATGTGATTTAGAAGACAATGTCCCATTTTCAAGAGTCTTAAGCACACAGAAACCCAAGTCACAAAGGTGCTTTTGCAAATATCTCTCACATAATCCTAATAATGAATCATAGTGTTTAAGTCTGTGGCTATGAGTGTCTATGGCTTTTGTTGCAGGTAAAAAAAAAAAAAAGAGCACTGGGGATATTAAATACTAATTTCAGAGTATGAAAATGCAGAATATCAAGCCACTTTAAAATCTAATTTTAAAATCATAGTTTAGCAGCTGGTAAGAACAGTCACCTCCTTCAATTGTGTTCCAGGTTTCCTCATACTCAGTATTATGAATAATCATAATAAGCATGATCATTTTTCCACAGTGGGGAAGGCTGCATAGTGCTTGGTATTAGGTTGGCTTGCATAGTTTATTCATCAAGCTCACTTGTTAGGGAGAAAATAATACTAGGATGTCCTGATGAGTGAAGCCCTTTCGTCTTCAGTACCCTAGAAGACAAAATGGCAACAGAGCAAAGTTAACAGCGGGGCATTAGACAGTTTTCAAAGTCAAGGCCTGAAGGTCACAGAGGACTGGAAGAGGAGAAATGTAATAGTGAAAAATCAATGCAAGAAAGAAGAGAGATCCTGGCATTTATCATCCAGTAGATCCAACTTTCAGGCCACAACCTGCAAGGGAACAAATACACTAAAAAGCACCAGAGCATAGCCTGTGTGACCACTACATAGATGTGCAAGAATAACGATGCCAGGAGCCTTCCCGGCATTGTTGATTTGATGTCAGGGCAGGACAGCTGCTGTACTACTTTTAGTATGCAAGCCAGCTCACAGCACAGCATGCCTCTTTCGCCTCCCCATGGATGGCTGAGAAAAGGAGGGCACTGTACATTATTGTAGGGCAACAGGCACGCTCCTACTATGTGCCCTGAAAGCGTCACAGGGACTGACGTCAGGGCTTACAAAACATCTCCTATGATGACACTAGAAGAAGAGATGGACAGCATACGAGTGAGATTATTTCATCATTTCATATTATTTACACGAGATGTTTACTGTATAGTTGACTACTTAACTGCACAGTAAACATCTCAGCATCTACACATGCAGCCCTATTAGGGTACAGAAAGCTACAGGAATAAATTCAACAGCTACGCCTGTATTACTTTCATGGTCCTCTCTGATCATGCTGTTTGCAGGAAACAGAAACCTGATACAGAGAAAGCAGGACATTCAAGTGTTCCATTGTCCTTTCATTTCCTGCAACTGTGCTGAAGAACTTGGAGAGATGGATGTATCTGATGTTGCTGGAGTAAGGATGAGGGGTCAGCTGGGTTGGCCAGAACCAAGGGGTCTGCTTTGGGCTCTAAGGCTGAGCCTGCCAGTCAGGCAGGGAAGGAAAGAAGAAACAAAGAAGGTGAAGCAAAAAAGAACCAGACCCTCCCATAAAGGAGGCAGGGCCTTAGTCATTATGCATTCCCTGGTGGAAAGCTATCTAAGGGCTCCTGCTCAGCCCTGCAAGAATGACACCAAAGGTTTCAAATGGGGGCGGCCACCACTTGAAGGAAATCTGCCAGGCTGCAGAAGGATAATGTGTCCCTCCCTTAGCACTTTGCCACAATAATGTCATCACCGCCACCCCTGAGGTAAGATCAGGATCACCAAGTTCTTGCAAACTGAGAAACAACACATACACTACTGGGTTGAGAATTTTGGCTGTTTTCTCCTGTAATGAAAGAACCTGCTTAGAATATGGAATACAAGCCAACATCATCCTTGAACCACAGCAGCTAGAGACCTCAAAGCTTCCTACATTGCTCTGTCTGTCTCTCTGTTCAGGCAGTCCATCCAGAAAACACCACTGTCCTGGGAGAGTAAAAGTTTGGCTCAGAACTACTCAAAGCACTGACAACCTTAATACCAACATGCTCATTTGTAACACTACACACCAGGAATACACATATGGAACGGTGTTAACCGTGTACAATTTTGTACAGTACTGAACTGTACAATTGATATGTTTTTATTTAAATTATAAATGTAAAATGATAGCAGAAGTTTGAAGGATTAATCCACTGGAGCTGCTGAGGGTGTAAGGTTATAATTCCAAGGTTAACACCATTTCACTTCTCTAATGTGGGCCTTGAATGGGACAATACAGCTGAATGAGCCCAAGTTACAAGGAAGGGTTGAGAACTGGCATTTGCCTAACATTTGTGTGTGCGCGCAGAACTGGGGCTTGGTTTAGATTCATCTCTGGCAGGCACTGCCATATCTGGCTCTTAACTCATTTTGGAGGAACCTTGGGCAGAGTTTCACAAGAAAATCTGGGAAGGAAAAAAAAAAAAAAGAAGAAAAAAAAAAATCAATATCACACTTCTCTCTCAAAATGACACTATCAAAATGTCAATTAAATATGGGTAGGTTTTTTTGATTCTTACCCTTCAGAGTTCACTAGACTGATTTCTTTTTATGACTAGATAGCAAAAGAATTAGGCATAAAAATAAAATCACCCACCTTATGCATCTTAAATTAGCTGTATAGCTTTGTTGGTTGCACTTACTCAGGGTTTATTAGAACTTCTCTGCCCTGGAGAGAGCATTTTCAACAGAAAGAAAAAGCAAAAGTTACAGGACCCCAACAGGTAAAACAACAACAGTCTATAAAAAACAGAAAGACAGAAAAAAAATAAAAGAGTGAAATTCAGCTACTACTAACCTCGTCCTTTGTTCCACGGAACCTGCACACAAGCACAATGAAAACGATCCCAAAAATAATACCAAGTGCCATGATTACAAAAGGGATGTTCTTTAATAGAGTGGTTTCGAACAGAGCATATTTCAGCTTACTGGCAGATGCTTCATCAATCAAAACACTCTGGAGTACAAGGAGGTTGAGAGAGAGAGAGAGAGAGAGAGAGAGAGAGAGAGAAATAACACATTTAGAATGTCCTTTATGCCATACCATGTTGCTTAAAATAAGCCGAGTAGGAAGACAGCAAGATCTGCTCTGCCTAGCCTGCTATTTAATAAATGTTCTCTCATTAATGCCTCTCTCTCTCATTTAGCAGCAGGAGGGATTCTGGCCTGCATATCCAACAGTGACGAATGTTTTATTGATGCCCAACTTAGGATCCCAGGGCTGGAAGGGCCCTCCTGCTATGCCAGGCAACCACATCATATAGCTGCTTTCTTAAACTGATTAAGGTAGGTAGAAATGTCTGGAAGCCAGACTCCTCAAAAGGTGAAACACTGAAAATCACTAGTCCCCTCTGGAAAGTTCAGACAAAAATAACTTCCTTCGAGACAGAACAAATTTCCCACTTCTCCCACCCAAGAACCAACAGCCTATCAGATACTTTCTGATATTACCTCAGATTTGCAATTGGAATATCTAATAATAATCCACCAGTACTGATTCATTCAGTCTTAAATTCACAAACACTATCAGCTCCCACCAAGTTCTTGGGTCAGTGATTCCACTAGTGCAATACCTCTGTACTCTGGAAGTGCCTTTCAGCTGATGAGCTAGGCCTCATACTGGTTCCCTCAGAGGTATTTTGAGGATAAGTTATGGGATTCTCTTCAACCAGTACAGACACACTAGCTATGGTATAGTCACCACCACAGTGAAAAAGTGCCTTGCAGGATTACAGAGGTCCTCCAAAAAGCCCAGTCAATACTGACCTTTCCACCCTTCAGGCTGACAGAGACATAGGGGATAATAATATATTGCTACAGTTACTATGGGGAAGACAAGTCTTGCATTTTCTTCTGGAGGCTTTCCTCCCTGTGGTAGAATGTGGCAGCTTTTTAAGAGCTCATGACACACCACACCACAGTTTAAGACAGTGGTTCCCAAACTTTTTGACTTTTCTGAATTTAGTGGCACCCCATATAAAGACTAATTTATGTCTTACAGTGCTTATCTTCTTACACCACACCATACCCTTAACAGGATCTCATAGGGTGGCAGGGCAGGGGCTGCTCAACAGGGCAGACTGGGAAACTTAGGACTGAGTCATTAGATCCCTGAAGGAGGCAGCTGCCCTTGCAGAAGAAAGGAATGACAGTGGCTGCTGGAGGCACAGAGGCCGGTGCTAGGTGAGGACAGCAAAGACAGGACTCTGCCATGCCCCACTATTTCTGTCACCTGCCTCCTCCCTGCCCCTGGCCTGTACCCAACAGGATGATGCGAGTCCTGTTGCTGCAACTGCTCCTCTGGGAACTCGCATGCCAAGGACCAGAGACACCTGTCCTCACAGCTCCTCCTCCTGCTGCAGGAACATGGGAGGAGTGGGTAAATAAGCCAGGCTGAGAAGTGTAGTCCCATAGCCCCGTGTCCATCTGCTGCAAAGCTTGCTGCTTGGAGTGTGAAGGCAGTCGGCACAGGGCCTGCCGCCTGCCAATGGATGGGAAGCAGGAGTGAGACCTCCCAGAGGAGCAGCTCAGGGAGCTCTTCCACAGAATACTGGGGCAACGCAGAGTGCCAGACAAGTGGAGGAGTGAGTGCTTACCTCCTTGCACAGAGGCCCAGTGCCACAGCACCCTTAAAAGGGTCTTGTGGCATGCCAGGGTGCCACAGGTACCCCAATTGAGAATCGCTGGTTTCAGAAATAAAGGATACTGCATTCAAAAGAAGCTACAAGGGGCACTGAGACTGGTCAGAATACAGCTGCTACCAAGTGAATGATACCAAGATTAATACCACAGTCTCTTGAAAAATCTCACACAGCTTTCTATATGTGGCTTTTATGGTTCAGACCATGGCACAAAGTTTTGCTGGCACTCCCTTTGTCAGCTAGGGTGTGAAAAGCTAAGACAATGTAGCTCTGACAGCAAAACCACTGATGTGGATATAGTTGAAAGAAGGCTGCTTCAATGGCTTGACTTCTGTCATTTGGAGAGCTCACATAGCAAAGCCAGCAGAAAAGACCCTCTGAAAGCAACAGTCACATCTCTGTAAGCGGTTCTGCTGTCATCTCACTGCTGGTTCAGTTATAACAGCAGCAATCCAGTAACCCAGACAAGCCCAAAGTTGTTATCCTCTTACTAGACATGCACTACTACAATGAAATCATTTAAAATATTTACCTCATTTATATACACCACAGGGAAAAGCAGCGTTCTGATCCTGCCTGTGTCACTGTATAAAAAATAAAAAAAAAACAACAACAGTAAAGCACTGAGTTTTTACAATGATTTTTGCTTCTCCCAGACAGATCAGAACATAGCAAGCAAGAAGGAAAATTTCCTAAGTGAAAGCTCTAAACCCATCTTATTTTTCTTTACGTTTTATCCTCCTCTTCCAAATTAGGGAAATAAATCATAGAATCAGAAAATTATGGTTGGAAGGGACCTCAGGAGGTCATCTAGTTCAACCCCCTGCTCAAAGCAGGGCCAACCCCAACTAGATCATCCCAGCCACACCTTTGTCTAGCCGGGTCTTAAAAACCTCCAAGGATAAAGAGTTCAAAATCTCTCTGGGTAGCCTGTTCCACTACTTTACTACCCTGCTAGTGAGCGTTTCTCCTAACATCTAACCTAAACTTCCCTTGCTGCAACTTGAGACCATTACTCCTTGCTCTGTCATCTGCTACCACTGAGAATGTTCTCACTCCATCCTCTTTGGAATCACTGTTCAGATAGTTGAAGGCTGCTATTAAATCTCATCTCAGTCTTCTCTTCTCCAAACTAAATAAGCTCTGTTCCTTCAGCCTCTCCTCAGAAGTCATGTCCCCCAGGCCCCTAACCATTTTCACTGCCCTCCACTGGACTCTCTCCAATTTGTCCACACCCTTTCTGTAGGGGGGGCGCAAAACTGGACACAATACTCCAGATGTGGCTTCACCAGTGCCAAATAAGGGAAGAATCTCTTCCCTCAATTTGCTGGAAACACTCCTATTAATGCAGTCCAGTATGCCATGCAATAGCATGCCTTCTTTGCAACAAGGGCACATGGTTGGCTCACATTCAACTTACAGTCCACTGTAATCCTCAGGCCCTTTTCTGCACAGCTACTGCTTAGCCAGTCAGTCCCCTGGCTGCAGTGATGCATCCTATGTGAAGGACTTTACACTTGTCTTTATTGAACCTCATGAGATTTTTTTGGTCCAATCCTCCAATTTGTCAAGGTCTCTCTGAATGCTAGCTCTACCCACCAGAATATCTACTACTCCCCACAGCTTGGTATCATCTACAAACTTCCTGAGGGTGCACTCTATCCCATCTTTCAGGTCACTGATGAAGAAATTGAACAAAACCACCCCCAGGACTGATCCCTGGGGCACTCCATTTGATACCAGCTGCCAAATAGAAGTTGAATCATTGACTACTACCCTTTGAGCCCAATGATCCAGCCAGTTTTCTATCCACGTTACAGTCCATCTATTCAACTCATACTTCCTCAGCTTGCTTGCAAGAATGTTGTAGACCGTATCAAAAGTCTTGCTAAAGTCAAGGTACACCACATCCACTGGTCTCTCCACATCCACAAAGCCATTCATCTCATCATAGAAGGCAATCAGGTTGGTCAGGTATGACTTGCCCTTGCTGAATCCATGCTGACTGTTCACATAATCACCTTCTTCTCCTCCAAGTGCTTAGAAATTGATTCCTCAAGGGCCTGCTTCATGATTTTTCCAGTGAATGAGGTGAGGCTGACCAGTCTGTAGTTCCCTGGATCCTCCTCTTTCCTTTTCTTAAAAATAGGCACTATATTTGCCCTTTTCCAATCATCTGGGACCTCTCCTTATCACCATGGAGTTTTCAAAGATGATGTCCAGGGCTCTTCTATTACACTGGCCAACTCCCTCAACACACTCGGGTGCATCTCGTTTGGCCCCATGGACTTGTTCACACCCAGCTTTTCTAAATCATCCAGCTTTTTCAATCTGGCTTTAAACTAAGCTTGCCAGGGGATGGGTGGACAACCACCAGAGCAAGCTCACCGAGCATCAACTGTGCATGATCAGGGGGCAAGAGAACAGGGCTTATGAAAAGAGGCTGCAAGCCATAGGACTCTTCAGCCTGGAAAAGCGCAGGCTCAGGGGTGACTTGGTGGCAGCCTATAAGTACATAAGGGATATGCATCAGGATCTAGGGGAACACCTGTTCATCAGTGCACCCCAAGGGATGACAAGGTCCAACGGTCACAAACTTCTGCAAGACTGTTTTAGGCTGGACATGAGGAAAAGCTTCTTCACTGTCCGATCCCCCAAGGTCTGGAATAGATTCCCCCCAGAGGTGGTGCAAGCACCTACTCTGGACACTTTTAAAAACATCTGGATGCTTATCTCGCTGGGATCCTTTGACCCTAGCTGACTTCCTGCCCTTTGGGCAGGGGGCTGGACCCGATGATCTTACCAGGTCCCTTCCAGCCCTAATGTCTATGAAATAGTCACTAACCTGTTCTTTTGCCAATGTTAGCTGCTCACCTCCTCCCCAAACTGTGCTGCCAGGTACAGTAGTCTGGGAGCTGACCTTGCCTGTGAAGACCAAGGTAAAAAAGGCACAGAGTACTTCAGCCTTTTCTGCATCGTCTGTCACTAGGTTGCCTCCCCCATTTAGTAAGGGACCCACATTCCTCTTGTTGCTGACATACTTGTAGAAACCCTTCCTTTTACACTTCATGTCCCTTGCTGGCTCCAGCTCCAATTGCTTCTTGGCCTTCCTAATTTCATCCCTGCATGTCCTTTACACTTCATGTCCCTTGCTGGCTCCAGCTCCAATTGCTTCTTGGCCTTCCTAATTTCATCCCTGCATGTCCAAGCAATACTCTTATACTCCCCTCCTTAGTTGTTTATCCAAGTTTCCACTTCTTATAAGCTTCCTTTTTGTGTTTTAGCTTACTGAAGAGTTCCCTGCTAAGCCAAGGCAGTCTTCTGTCATACTTGCTAGTTTCCCTGCACATTGGGATGGTTTGTTCTTGCACTCTCAGTAAGGTTTCTTTAAAGTACAGCCAGCTCTCCTGGAGTCCTCTCCCTTTTAGACTGGCCTCCCAGGGGATCCTGCCCATGAGTTTTCTGAGTGAGTTGAAGTCTGCTTTTCTGAAGTTCAGGGTCCATACCCTGCTGCTCTCCTTCCTTCTTTTCCTCAGGATCCTGAACTCAGTCATCTCATGGTCACTGCTGCCCAAGCTGCCATCCAGGCCAGAATCTGGTCCAGAATTTGTTTTATTTGTTTTTAAAGCAATAAAATCATAGAAACATGTAAAAATAGTCAGGAGCTCATCTAGCCAGCCCCCCGCTCAAGGCAGGATCATTCCTTTCAAACTAGCCCAGCCCAGTTGTAAACTAGCCCAAAAAATCATCCCAGAAAACTTTGGGGGATTTTGCTGAAGGCTGAAAATACAGTCAAGATGACAGTATATAACTATATAAACTGCTTAATTTAGTGTTAATAGTACCAGTATGGCTGGAATTTTAAGGTGTTCTGATGTGACATCTCATGCCACTAGAGAAAAGATAGGCAGATGTAAGGAAATACTGTCTTTGGCTAAAGTGTCACAAACATTATGATCTGCCTAACAACTGACTCCCCAGCCCAGCCCCTGGCTTCTTTACTTTTCATTCCATCCAGGAAGAGCACACACCAACTGCTGAAACTTCCTTAGCCTGACAAAGGGTTTTTGAACCCGAAAGCTTGCTTAATAACTTTTCTCCAACTATTTGGGTTGGTCTAATAAAAGATATTAAATCCACCCAAGGAATCTTGTCTGCCTATGTCCTTAGACCAACACGGCTACAACCTAAACCCCTACAAAAAGATTAGGGCACATGAGACATTTTTCCTCATATATGTTGTGAGAAGTGCCTCAAACACTGAGCTTCATGTGGGAACTATGAAGTCTTTAACTGAAAATAATGAGACTTCCTGCAAAATTCCCAGCTAACTTCTGCTATCATTCCTATATCCACACAGCCCCATCATCTGGGTCTGGTGAAAGTGGCAGCAGAAATCTTGGTCATCTATGGGTGCATGCACACCTCTATGATAACATGTCTCTTGTAACTCACATAACCACAGGAAGCAGGATTGTCAAGTTGGTATGGACCAGTCAGTCTCACCTAACTTCTTTGCTAATACGTATCAGTTTGAGAGCAAGCTTAGGAAGCAGGCCACCAGCAAAGCATAGCCTACTTTGGAGTCAACAAGTCCAAGGACATGGCATCAGGTAAAACAAGCTGCTGGACAACTCAGCTGGAATACCTATCATGTCCTCTAATTGGAGGCAAATCTCAGAAAACTAAATCAGCACCTACCCTACAACAAGTGAAGAATAAAATGGACACTTCGCTTGCAGATGAATAGTATCCGAGATTATAAATGAGATCAGAGACTTAATTTGGGTGATTCTTGCTCCCAATTCTAGGATTGGATTACTCCTCAAATCTGGAGCAGGGAAAGCTTTCCTCCCCTCAGCATATTGACCACTGTACTCTCATAGTCAAATAAACCCCGACTCTGGAACAGGAAAAAAGCAGCCCTAACTGGGCCCAGTCCTTCCTATTATTTTTCTATGTGACACTAAATATTAAGGAAAAAAATATATATATATATTTATTTATTACACACAGTATCCTGATCCACCCCCAGGAATCCTAAAACCTATCCTTGCTGGGTCTCCACACTCTGTATGGCAAAACTCAGAATTCCAACTCCTTTTGACAACTACAGTTTACCACTTTTTTGAAGGAATGCAAAGCAATATGACAGATGTGTACTGATGATGGCCAAATGTATCCTTAATTTAGGTCTTGCTAGAGGTCACACAGGTGTTCCCTGTGTATATCCTGTATTTGATATATTTGGCCAGATTCTGATCTTATTGGCCATGTCTATACAAGACACTGACTGCACAGTAACCTGAGACTACTGTGCAGTAGTGTTGTGTGGCAGAACCCGTGAAGCACCAGTAGCCTCGGGGCTACTGCACTGCCCTGAAAAACGGTTTGTTGGTGCTCCTGCACAGTAATTTGTGTTACTGAGCAGTCATTTGTTTATACAAGTACTAAATGACTGTGCAGTAATGACTACACAGTTAACATCTCATGTAGACATGGACCCTGATACCCATGTAAAGCAGGAGTAACTCCCCTGAAGCCAAGGGAGTATAACAAAGATAATATGGTATGAGAGCAGCATCAGGCTAGTGTTCTGTGCATCTACAAACATATCAAAAAAGGAGCTTTCATAGAGATTCTCATGATTTACAAAATTCACTGAAAACTTACATGGAAAATATCATTGCCTTTAGAAAGCATTTCTCTCATATCTCCCTCTTCTAAAAGGGCAACCCCAAACTTCAGTCCCAAATCTTTTTTTTGATGTTCCATACATTCAGGTCTTATATCACTTTATTGATGATTACTTGCATCAAAAAAATAGAGAATCAAATAACAAAGGTATACATTAAAAGTGATTTATGGTAGAGGAATGAATCTCCCCACATTTTAAGTTCTTTTAAAAATTATTTTGTGCTATTTTGGGGGTCCCTGGCACCCACTCATTGTGTTTCAATGTGTGGCCTTTACCAGTTGACATATATGGTGCTAAAATATACCAGAGTCTTCTCTGTTTTATGGAAATAACTACATCCCCAGGACAAATGTGAAAGGAGTTATCCCTTCATCTTCCAATTCAGATTCACCTAGACTTAGGTACATCTATCAGTTCTATTTCCTCAAAAGACAGTATAAAAAAAAAAACTATTTAAATTAGGGAGCCTGATTAAGCCACCCTGAAACTCCTAGCCACAAAAGGAAAATACTTACAAAAATTCAGGCATTTTTTTGATGTAGATGTTGATCTGGATTCGCTTGGCTGCTTGGAGAATCACCCCTGTCAACTGTGAAATAAAGGTAAACTTCTAGTTTAATAAAAGGTTAATGTGTAATAAAAAAAAGTTTTTAAAGTATGACTTCAACTCAATTTCCTGGTGATATGGACTGGCTTGTAGGATGAGAAAAATGGCATCACCATCTTTACCAGTTATGACAGAGTTCATAAGTCCATGCCCTAGGGAAGCAATAGTCTAAGACTACAAACAGACATTGCATTTATCCTAGGATAAACTATTTTATCTCAGGACAAAAGTACAAGCATACAGTAGACCTGGGTTCGTGGTCCTGGGATAAATCCTAAAAAAAAGTCCCAGATAAGAGGTAATAACAATTTATCCTGGGATATTGCGAAGTCAATATATACAATTATCCCAGGATTGCATCACTGAATCAACAGCAGAAAAATGGTAGTGTATTCAACCACTCATTATCCCTGCTTAGAAGGATGATGTGTATGCATGCCAATCCCAGAATATTTTTGTTCTCAGACAAATAGACGCATTTTACCCAGGGACAAATGCAACGTGTGCTCCAGGCATTTAAATTCGGAAATGTTGCACTGTTTTCATTGGCAGATTCCTTGTTTCTCTCCCCACAATCCAAGAGGCACCACAGTTGCAGTAAAATGGGAATATTTTCCAATGCTCCTAATTACTAAGAGCAAACTGGGGGTGTCAGACTACATTTATGTACATTTCCTAGTGGATGGCTTGGCTGCCAGGAAGGCATTTTGTGAACATTGTCCTCCCTGCCTTTGGATTTCTGAGCCATCTAAACATGGAAACCTCTGATTTCTGAGGTCCCTCAATTTACCTCCTTTTTCACCAAAATGGAAATGGTGAAACAACAACTGGGAGTCTATAAAGGCAGGGGGAGTGGGAAAATCAACATTGTGGGCTCCAGGGAAAGGTATTAACCTGTTTCTCTCATCATTGCCAAGCTACCAGCATTACTTTAAATCACTGGGACATAAGGGGAAAGTGACATGATTCTTATTACTTAGCTAAGTATGCCATATACTGACAAATACAAATGGGCCTAAATCCCACTTTATGTAAACTGGCACAGCTTCACTGAAGTCAGAGTAGCTATACTGACTTACACCAGCTAAGGATCTGTCCTAAGTCTATGTATAGGAGCAAATGTGCATCTATTTAACTGCACCTTTTCAGAGGGAGCCATATACTTACTGGATTGACATCCAGGAACATCTCATGATCTTCCTTTTTTGGATTCATGCCCCGTATGCTGTTAATATACTTTTTGTCTGCTTGGTAAAAATGTGGGGATGATAAAAATATGGGGGTACCTGGAATGTCAAACACAAAGAGTCACATTTTTATTGGATCCCTAGCCATCCAAACCAGTGTCACAGAACAAGAAGAAAATACTGCACTTCCCTAAACACACCACAAAACAAGTTCCAACAGGACAGTGTAAACAACAGCATCACTAATGTACACGTCAACTGTCCAGAGATAAATTAATTAAGAAAAGAGCAAATACTTATGGAACTCTTTTATGGTTCATCTACATTTAATTCCTTCCCAAATGCTGTTCTAGTCTGTCGTATTCAAGCACCTTCCAGTAACACATTACTTGTAGTTGGTTTTCTCCCATTTTCTCTCTGGTAGGTCTTGATCTTGCAAAGCCCTTAAACTTAGTCCTACAGAAGCCACAGGATCTGTAGCAATTTATATGAATTGGGCATGAGGGCCTTTGTATCAGCTGTGTTGTGTGAACATGCTCAGTTTCTGTAGTGTTGGTCCACTTGAGATCTGATTACAAAGCAATACAGCAAAGCACTTAAGAACCCATGAAACTGTAAGCCCAGGACAAGCCCCACTGAAGTCATTTAAAATGACTTGCACTGTTATATTGCCAGTAAAGACGGAGTTTAAGTTCTTTTTTTTTTGTTTGTTTGTTTTTTAAATACACACACCTCCAAACACTGCCAAGTTTAAGTTATTTTTTTTAAAGAAATTTTCCATGTTCCAAGCCAAACCAAGTCCAAATCCATGAGTCAGTCCAGAAACATAAACAGCCCTACAACTGGCAAACATCCTCTACCCCCACCAGGGACTTCAGATATTTCCAAAGTCTTTTGGCAGGTATCCTACATGCAGCCCCAAGCCTGGAGGCTTGGGGTTCAGATGCCCTCAAGTTTCACCTGCCCTCAGCCATATGGCCACAGGAGCAAGCTAGGGAGGAGCCTCCCATTTCCACAAAGTGGGCGTTAAGCCCCAACACCTCGGCAGGTACTAAACCACGCCAGAACAGTTATCCCTGGAAGCACTTAAGGAAAACTGCCTTCATGGACTGCATACATGGTGTTTCCCCTGCCAGGTAAGGTGGATTACAATTTCCATGCCACCTGAGCTGACCTTCACAGTAGAGGTGGAAAGCACTGAAGACAGCGCAAAACCAAATTTATGGTGAGTGGGCAAGTGACATTTAACAAAAGAACATGAGTCCATAGGCGACTCTTTCATTTGACCCAGGCTGCTCCAGAACACAGAAAGAATCTTCCCTTCATGAAGCCTGCTGTGACAGGAAAAGCCCATTTCCAGTCTCTGATACCCTAATACCTTATTTTCACAGTGGTAAAGTTCCCCCCGGGTAGAATCAGCCAGCACAAAAGCTTATACACCAGAGCTCTAGTAGAGCTTTGCATACAGGTTTGCATACAGTATTTCACCCATTAGGATGTGAAAATGCTGCACAGATTAGCACTAGCTGTAACAGCTCTTCCCTTTACCAGGTGGCTCCTACTCCATTCTTCTGCTTCATATGATTTAAGCTACAGCTGGAGCAGACAATATTTTTGGGGGATTACATTTTTAAATGATTTTTCTTTACTACTACAAGATTTAAAAAAAATATATATATATATATTTTGCTGGGTGTACTGTGCCTGATCTTATGGAATGTAGAGCTCTTTCAACTTCCTTTGGAGTTGACAGTACTTGCCTTCTCACAGGGGTCTAGCTAACCACTTGCATGTGTTCCAGTTCATCCAAAAAAAAAATTTTTATATATGAGAGAGAGAGAGAGAGAGAGAGAGAGAGAGAGAGAGAGAGAGAGAGAGAGAGAGAGAGAGAGAGAGAGAGAGTTCTCTCACTGACCCTACCCATTGTTTGGTCACATACCCTGCTTGCAGATGCTGACATTCAGGACACCTGTTCCAGGGCAGTTTCCTGCTGGCACACAGAATCCAGCATTGTCCGGATTAACAGAAGTATTGGCAAAGAGCTCTTCAGGGGGCACAAAGCGATAGGCAGGGATACCTGCCACACTCCTAAAGCTGTCAAACGTCAAATACAGAGATCTGTAGGGAAGAAAAGCAAGAACCTCAATTATTGGGCATAAGCACTCATTAACCCATGTCATCACAAATACGGTTAACAGACCAGAACTGACCTGTGAAGACATTTGATCTGGCTGGCAAGTAGACCAACCACGTATGCTGGTGGTGCATTAGGATGGATCAGCCACGCATAATGCATGCAGCACAGAGGGCCGACATGAGGTGCACGCTCAACCTGGATCCAGTGTACAGCACAGGTCCACAGGTTGCTGCATGAAGCACACTTTCCATGCCAGCCCCATGCTACATGCAGCACACAGTATGCTACAAGCCTGATCCAAGATTCACTGGAGTGAACAGTAGTCTTTTGGTTGAATGTTTGTCTTTCCATTAATTTCAACGGGCTTTGGAGCAAACCCCACATACCTTGTCATGCTGTTGAATATAATGGATGAACCTTAACAAAAAAAAAAAAAAATAATACATATAGCCCTCTGAGGTTAAAAGACACGTGTCCTCAGGATTTTGGAGCCTCTCTCAAACCCCCAAGACCATCTCTGGAGCTAGAGCTGTTTAAGAAACATTGAAACTATGTGTGCCACAAATGCCACATCTATAAGAATGACAGTGAAAAAAAATAGAGCAGGTAAACTGAGCACAGTCATTCTTCAACCCCCGTTTGCCTGGATTCATCTGAAGTAGAATATTTTCTTTATCTAAACAGAAAACACTAGAGGTGATATTGTTTTGCAATACTAGAGAAACCAGAGGGAGGAGGCTGAAAGATGAGACAGCAGATGGAAAACGTTAGGTTTTCCCACATCCCTGCTGCCTTGGGACATGTGTGGACATGCAGTGCCCTTATTCTAATTAACTGCAATTGAATGATGCATTCTAGGATGCCATTAGCAAAGCAAAATATTCAGGAGGATTTCAGAAAAAAAGAAGTTTCAGCTGGGATCTGTTTAAACCCGTTTCTGTAGCAAATCCCCTCACACCCTGCTTAATGAGGGAATTGTACAGGTTTGGCAGGATTTAACTCAGATATTCATTTAACGTTTGTCACAAAACAGGCCATCTGTAACTAGATGTAGATTGGTTCTGTTTAATTTTTAGGGATGATTCACTTCTAGTTTTTTGTGAGGGAGAATAAAGAATATAGGTATTTAAAAGGAACAAAGCCTTTAAAATAGAAAATGGTGGGAAAGTTCATTCAACTAGAAACCTCAATATAATCCAATAAAAACACTTGGATCTGGAATCCTAAGGTGTGTTTCTTCTCCTTACCTGCAGAAGTCAGAAGAAAAAACATAGAGTTTTTCATCTTTGCTTATCAGGGGATGGAAAGAATTTCCATCTGTCCCATTGATCATATTACAAGTCTTTGTGGTCCACCAATCCAGAGACCTAAAGTCAAAGAAGAGGAGAGAAAGGGTTAAAGAACGATTTACAATGATAAGACAACGAGTTCTTGACCTAGGAGGCACAAGGAGGGTCTGCTTCCCATTTATACCAAGTCCTATTTATTGCTGGCAAATATTTTCACTAACTGCATATTATTTTCACTGTTTCTTGAGTAATTCAGTTTGGGGGGTCACTAACATGGAACAGGTGCAAACATGGGCATAAGATGAACAAGCAAAGTTGTGCTCTGGAAGCAGATGGGTAGGGAGAAGTGGGGCATGGATAGAGTCTTGGTATCATGCTATCATGTGCTCTTCAGAGCATTGGATCTAGTGGAGCAAGTTACTGGTAACTAACTAAAAGTGCAATCTATGTTTGGAAAAAATCAATATGCAGAGAAATGTCAGACTATGGACCCCCAAACAGATCACCTCACCACTTACGTTATAGAAAAACTAGATGGATATGTCTCCAGAAGGGTTTTTACAGCCAAGTTGTTAATACATACCAGTCACTTTGTTGTACATTTATACTTTTCTTGCAGTGAAGACATAAGAGGTAGCCTACCATGGTTCAGGGTTAACTAGTCCCTGTTACACTTCTAGGGAAAGTGAGGCAGTTGTGATTTTAATCCACATACCTCAACATGATTCAAACTAATACTGCTTCATCTTCACTAAGGGTTGTAACCCAGGTTGGCTGAATAAGGATGAGCTGAACATAGGTGACAAATACACCAGTTTTTCTAGTGAAGAAACAACCCCAGACGAAAAGAATTGGATAGCTGGTTGTTCTTACACTGTTCTTCCATGATACAAATAGCTCTGAGAACAGTTACATTTAAAATAACATGTGTTCCACCATTCCTGGCTGCCTATGCATGGGTGTACATGTGCTGGTGGCAGCCAAGAACCAGAGATCCTGACACCAGCCCAGACTTCCATTTGCATCAGCTGGTGGTTTGAGGGCAATAATGTCAAGAATTGATACAAAGTATATATATCTACTTTTGTTAGTCTCCTAAAATGCAAATGTATCCTGCTTCTATTTGACTTCACACTAACATGGCTAACTATGTCTCTCTGAGAATGGATACTGCAACAACAATTACAATTAGAACTATTATTGTTAGTATTATTATGAGGCTCTGCACTCAGTGGATTGATAAGAAGGGACAGAAGGAGTTATGTTAGCTGACTGAAAGGTCTCTAAAGAAGTTAGAAGTTCCACAGCATTTGATACGGCAACTTACTTTTTTCCCTTCCACTCCACAATCCTTGAGAAGTTAAGGTAGTTCCTTGACCCACTTAGGAAAACATATTCCCCATCGTCTGTCCCATTCATCTAGAAATAAACACATCAGATTTTACCTTCGCTATACCCTTCCAGCCAGTCTCCATGGCTGATGCCCTGCAACAGGACTGAAGATGTATGCCATGGACCCCTTCTGTTCCCATGTGTTAGTACTCTGCTGGGAGCTATAGGTTAGCTGTTGCTGACTCCCTGGGGAAGCTGAGATTTATTAGACTCCATCTGGATTATAAAGAAGGTGAGGATAATTGAAGCCTTGTCTATGTTTAGCTCCTCTGCTACCAGAAGTTCTAGTGGGAGACAGCAGCTGCCCCAGCCAAACTGCCAAGCCACCTATACGTCTAAACACTTCTGGCAGCTCTGCATGTCTCCATTCAGCAGTTGTGCTATGGGAGCACAAAGGACACAAACAGAAGTAACAATTTTCACCCAATCTGGTCACAGAAAGCAGTTTATAGCTGTGACCAAACAAGTGAACAGCTGCAGACAGCTTCAAAAATGGTCAATCGGGTGAAAATCTGGACCCCTATTGCATGAGGTATCAGATGAAGCGGTTTCAAAATGTAGCATCTTCTGTAACTTGTTTCTGGGAGCTCCCAGCCTGTCTGCTGTTTTCAGAATGGGAGGAAGAAAGGGGGCAGCAGGAGTTCAATCCCCCACCCCCAAGGTGGGTGGGTGGGTGTGTGTGTGTGGGGGGGGCGCTCCAATTCACCCACCCCACCCTTTAGCACTGGCTGGGAAGTCCCAAAAATGAGCTCCCTCCACTGCCTCCCCCGCCCCATTCTGAAAACAGCGAGCACTGGCAAAGAACCTGGCCATTGCTATGGGAATCTGGCTGCAGGGAGCCCCAGCAAGTTTTCCCTCCCCCCTGGAACCAACAGTGAACTTCTGTTTGGTCTGATGTAACCTTATAACACAATGTTTCACAGAAAAGGGTCTGAGTTACAGCTGGGGGCTGCACTTCTGTCTGCATGTGCACCCTGGAGAGGCACCAGCTGCAGAAGGGGCTGTCAGCTAGAAGTGTCTCCACATGCCTTCTGTTGGCTAACCAGGAGTGGTGTAAACCTTAATTTAGTGATAAAAATGGGCTCTCTGGGAAGAAAGGAGGGTTCAAACCCCACAGAAAATCTTTGAGTGTGAACACACAGTTCTGCCAGATGAATTTGAGATCTGCTGGCAAAACTTTGTAGCACAGACATGGCCCAAGGTAGGTTCTGAAGCGGACACTTCCTCAGGGAAGGAAACTGTGTTTAACTTAGCCTTTTTTCCTTAAAATTTCCAACCCAATAAATCAGTTCTTCTGAAAATAAAAAAGTGTTTGGGGAATCTTTAGAGCTCTTCAGCAAATGTTCAAAAAAGGATAAATGCTGGCAGGTAAGATTGCCCAGAAAAGGTCAGAGCCAGCTGCTTTGAACCTATCCTTCCTTCCTATGCACCAGGTAGCACATTGTTGACTGGGATTGCTGACTGCATGCATGCAGGATTGTTGACTGCAATTCAGTTGCTATCAAGAAGAGAAAAGAAGTACCCAAGATTCCCAGGGCCCAAATCATGATAAACATAAGAAACTGAATCAACAAGCTGACCTACATGCAACTAGAAACAAACTGGAAGCCAACACAATTGCTGCAGCACCAACCTAATGTATTCCCTCAATGAAATACTGTTACGTAAATGAACTGCCACATTTCCCCCACTAAGTTTTCCTACTAATCAGTTCTAGAAGAGTGCATTAGTATACTAGACAACAATGGCAGCAGCAAGGTCAAACTTGGAAAAGTTTGCAGACTTTTAGTCAAGTGGAGGTGTAAAAGACACTCCTGACTACTGCTGATCCTACCACTAAAAGAGCTGTATAACTCCTGGACTGTGGACCGAAGTAATGAAAGTTAGCTGTAACCCTTCCACTTACGAAATAGATATTTCCTTTGCCTTCTCTCCAACTTTTTCTCCTGTAAACTACCCCTATTGACTTTACATATCCAGATATTTTAACTGACCCAGAAACTACAGCCTCACTTTACATCTATGGTAAACCTCTACATCCATGATTCAATTTAATGCTCTGGAAAGCAAGATGTTATTTATAAGTTACCTTATTAAATAAACCAAATTCCGAATCCACCTCAGGATAAAAGAAATGAATGGTTGACAGAAGACTATCTTTGTAGCCCCACAGTAATTCATGAACAGTACGTGTCATAAACAGTTCTTCTCTGTAATATAGTAGTATCAGCTGTAGGGGCAGGTGCAGAGGACTTGTCTGGGCCCATTCCATTGCAGTCTGACACGAGAGAAGACATAGGACAAATGGACTGTCATTGTAGTAAAATGTACAATTGCACACACAGACATTTAACAGAACAATATACAAGCATGAAGGACAGTTTCATTTTATTATTTCTAATAACAGGATGATAAGAGACAATGTACTGGTGTCAGAAGTTATTTACATATTTTCTTACAGAGATCAGTTTTCACAGAAGTGCATATTTAAGTCCATCTCTAGTCAGCAAAGCACTGAGTTAAGAACATTCTTAGGAATGTATGCGATTTGCTGAACAGAGATTATTGGCCTTAAACATAGAAGCCTATTGCCAGAGAAGTACCTGAATGTCACCTTCAGAAAGTTGTGGCATACAAAACAGCAAAAAAGCAAGAGTGAAAAAAAGCAAAAAAAAAAAGGCATAAGAACAGGGTGATACAAATGATTACATACACCCCATACTAGCATCAGAATCACACTAGGTAGGATGAGGTGTGAGAAAGCAATTCCTTAGATGAATGTGGGCACAATTTTTTTCAGATAGTATCTGACATTGTCACAAACTGATCCTTTAAATATAGTCCACAGTATAGCTTTATAACATGGCTCTCAAAAAAAACATCAAGGGAATCATGTGTGTAATAACAGCATTCAAATGCACTAGCATGAAGGATCTCTATGTGAGTCAAGCTATCATTATTGCCAACTAAATTCAGGATATATTTATTATCTTCCATGACCAGTGCTCCCTTAAGCCATAGGAAATTGGATGCATCTTTAAATGTTAAACGTATTTGATAAATAGGATTTATTAGTTAAATATGGTTTATATACAAGATCAGTCCCAAAACTGATTTTCAAGGAATTCTGTTTATGAACTGTTGCAGACTCCACCTGACAGTTTCCTACCTACCCTGCAATTATTACATTTGAGAAGATGGAGAATTACTGGTTCTACTAATCCCTGACACACCAAAGATGTCTGGACTTCAGTACAGTATTTGACAAGATCTATTTAATTTATCCTTGTCTAAATGCCAATTATCTTAACAAAGATAGGCAATGTCTCCCTGACTCTTCTGCATTACCTGTAACAATCAGAATCATAGAAGATTAGGGTTGGAAGGGACCTCAGGAGGTCATCTTGTCTAACAATCTACGCAAAGCAGGACCATCCTCAACTAGATCATCTCAGCCAAGGCTTTGTCTAGCTGGGTCTTAAAAACCTCCAAGGATGGAGATTCCATTAGCTTTCTGAGTAAACTGTTTCAGTGCTTTTCACCTCTCAAAGAGCTGTCATGACAAATAATTACTTGGAAGTCACAAAGTGCTCTGAAGATAATAACTGTGCATTATAACACCAAGTAGTTGCCATATTGCAGAAATATTCCAGATGTAGATAAAACAGAACTCACCACTGCAGGAATATTTACAGTCCTGATCAGATCCACTTCAGGGTCTCCAATGGACTTCTCTGGATCAAATACGTAGGTTTTTGGGTTAAGAGCTGATACTTTGGTGCCATTCTCCAAAATGTGAACACTCACTCTTGGCCTGTACTCTCTGGGAAACAGAAGATTTGATAATGCACTTTGAAACTGTGCAAAATATCATTTTAGTGCTATTTATAATGGTTTTCTTACCCCAGGTTTAAAAGCATAAATATGAAAGGTGAGAATTTCAAGAATCACTTAGCACTGACCTAACTCTCCTCTCATTCTCTGGGTCCCAATGAAAGCTGAATCAAACTCATGTGGGATGCTTTGGAAAAATCCTACCTCAGTTTTTTACTGCACTCTACTTTTTTGTTTTGTGTTGAAATGCCTGCAAGGGATGAGCAAGAGGCAAGGATTTCTTGGGTGATATCTTTTACTGAACTAACTGTACAGTTAGACAAGCTTTTAAATTCAAGACATTCTTTATCAGGTCATTGCATAGTTTTGTTGCATATATGAAGATGTGTATGCTAGCTAGAGTATTGTAGATAATGTATTAGATAACATTATGTTTCTTGCACAGACTTAGGAAGAAGATGGCAGAGGCAAGATGACAACAAGACACAACAAAACCGTTTAAAGCCTGGGGCAGTGGCTCTGTACTTGAAGCACAATTTGAAAATTATATTTTCACTTCTTTACCAAGAGCAAAATTTACTCCCAGACAGAAGCTACAGCAAGATGTAAAATAAAACTCACTTTGGAACAGAAATAGGAGAGTGTCTCTACACATGCGATTAATGTGCACAAATAAACTCCAGGGGTTATTGATTCAGAGTGTATTTGGGTGCAGCAAGTGGGTTCTCAACATGCACACACCTTGTCTCCAAACCCCACTATCCCTGAATTCCTACTCTCCATCTCAGTGGGCACTGGAGCCAAAGAGCCTCAGCAGGGACTGAATTTTTCTATCAATTTTTTCCCCCACTCAGATCATTGATATTCAATGATATTCCACCTGCTGGCTTTCTTGCTCATGGAAGATACGTATCCTCACAGGTATGTGTAAGGAGAAGCATGGGGGGCAGGGGGAGTACATCCTGAGGAGGATGAGAGGAAGGAAGAAGACAGGGATGGGACATAAGTGTCAGGAGATGGAGGACCCTGATGCATGATTTCATATAGGGCCTTATAAAAGGTAGAGCTGGCTCAATTTACTTGTCTGACAACAGAGGATGGTACCTTTGACAAGTTATCAGTGCAAGTTCTGCCAAAACACTTCACATGGTTTGTCAGAGCTGCTGCACCAGCAAATGGCAGCAGCATGGATGCTGCACAAGCAGAGCTACTACAGTACAGGACAGAAGCCAGAAAGTCTGAAGGAACAAAACAGGGAAGGAAATAGATTGAATACAATGATGAAATACAGAGGGATGGGCAGCAGAGGGGAAGAGAAGAGGGTGTGACAAAAGCAGGAGAGGCAGCGAGAGCAGAAGGATGCCAAGGTGTGGGAGGAGAAAGGCAGAGAGGAGATAAATTAAATTGGAAGACATGTCCATAAGTTCATATGGCTCTAAAACATTAACAAAGCAGATTCTCCCTTCCACTCCACAGGATCTTTTCAACCACTGCTAGGGGCCTGGTTCCCAGTTTGCATGGCTGCAAGTGACTGTACACGGTGCAGCCAATGAAGAAACAAGTTCTCTAGGCTCAAGTATCCTTCTTACCCCAGTTTTAAAAGCACAAAACCTCATTGCAATAGTGTCACTCCCACTTTACACTGGTGTATACCGGGAAGCAGAATCAGGTTCTAGAGGAAAGCTGAACTGTAGCGACTTTAAAAGACACACACAGGCCATATTGTGCCACTAAGCACAGGCCTATGATAAACACAGTGTGGAGCAACAGCCCATCGGGAGCTGGGATCTCCATCCCTGCTTGTGGCCCCTCTTTGTCCTGCATCTTCCCCAATCTCTTTAATGATGGCAGCTACTTCAGGACCTAAATAAGGTTCACAAGGGGGTTGGCTGAAGAAAATCTTCATACTTTCCCCTCTTGTAACTGTCCCCTGCACACACAAAATCTGGCTCCAAAAAGAGAACAACCTTTTTACTTCCTCCTTTGTACCTTAGCACGTAACATAGTTACAGGTACCCTTTTTCTAGGAAGCCTGCTATGGGATCATAGTGTTTACATATGTGCTTTGGAGTGGGCTCCCGGAAAGCCGTTCTAATTAATACGCAGCACTGTCACATGTATTCAATGTCTTGTTTCAAAATGGCAGCAGAGGCACTTTAACTAAAGCTCATTTGACAAGCTTTGGTTAAAGCGCCCCTGCTGCCGTTTTAAAATGTGGTACACTGAACACATGTGAAGGTGCAGCAAGTGGACACTCCAGCAGACTTGATTAATTGAGTTTGCTCCAACGTGTTCTAATTAGAATACCATGGAGCACACATATAGGCACCCATAGTTCTTTTCTATTCTTTGCTTCCCCACCCCAACACCTGTTTGTGTAAATAGCTAGTGAACCACTCACCTGTAGGTGTATGGCCCTATTTCCTCCACAAAAGGGGTTGCCCCATTAATCACTTCCAAAGGATTTGTCAAATTAAAGAAATAGAACTGCATGTAGACGGGTGGAGGAGGGTTCTCCCAGACTTGAAAGGTTTCTGTGCCATTCTTTAATACTGTTTCCTAGAACAAAAACAAAAATATCAAGTTGTATTGGAGAGTCTTTGTTGGAGGGAGAAGAATGTAAGACTCTGCTCTTGGAATAAGGATAGCCAATATGCTTGGAGGCCCTGCAAATGCTTGTGTGCATGCATAACTTCAAGCATAGGCAAACAATTGGTTTCAACTGGGTGACTCAAGTGTTTCCAGCATGTGGGCCCATGATGCAGAAAGGCTCGATGTCCCTTTTCCCCTCAGATTTCTATCTTACATTTCCTGGAGCGTAGGCCTGCCAGCAAGGACACAGCAAATTACTCTAGTGTCCATACCAGAAAATCCTGGGCGTTGAGGTCTGACAAAGCCTGCACCTATTTTATAACAAATGGCACTGTTCTCTCCCTGAAATCTGTTTTTATTTGGAGTACAGAATTTTTTTAAATTATTACAGAAATAAAAGACCAGATTCCAGTATTTTTCTTGTTCTCAGGTTGAAGCTACTCCTTGAATATCCAATTTTCTTCAAAGTCTAATCATAACTTATTCCACCAGTGGTTTCTTCTGAAGCAGGCTGCTTCTTAATTGTGAAAGTGGCTGTTTTCGCAGAGGATCAGAATCTGGTCCTCTAGGAAACTCACCCCTTCCACGCTTCGGAGCCTCACCTAGGCCATCTCAGTACCTCCAGACACCAGGCCCTCATAGTATAAATTCCTTGTGGGATCAACTTCAATGAGAGCAAAACTATTCTTGTGCAACACTTGCACAAATACAACAAAGGATTAAAGACCTGGAGCAGGTTGCAGCATTTGCCTGAAACATCTCACCCTGTTAGACATTGATCCCCAAAAGGAAATGCTGAGTAGCTTCAGCTGACTCACTGAGGCAAGAGGGTTGCCGTCTTCCTCTATGTAAGGAAGCTGAAGTTGAACAGCTAGAGAGAGTGAGCAAATGAAGTCTGGGGCTGAGCAGTCCTAGGATAGGCACCTTAGGACTGGTACAACTTGAAGGGAGGCTGAGCTTCATTTATAATTAATTTATTTATTAAAAAAGACCAATTCCAGCAGGGTTAGGAAGTTTTGCTGTACAAACACATGAACTGTTTTAGGTCCTAACACAAAAGTGCTAACATATGCAGAGCCTAAATCACCTGCTAGTAGTTCATCTTATATTTTACAGAGGTCTACAAGAAAATGCCTATAGGCCCCCATGTTGTTACAGCATCACTTAAACACTGTATTAGCAATTCCTTTGTAGTCCGTGCGTTGGTGGGAAGGGAAGAGTCACCACTCCACTTTTACGTATTTCTTCTAAAAACCGAATACACAAAATTCTCAAAGCCAAAGTGCTTTCTTTTTTTAGCAATGCCTTACAGCTCACACATAGCAGTGCCCTAAAAGCCAAAATAAAAATATCAACATTTCTATGTCTTCAGTTCCACTAAAGTCAACACAATGACACCAGGGATAAGTTTGGACCAGTAAGTAAAGCTATTCAAGAAAAAATACAAAGAAACCATATTTTCAGTGCTAACATCATCAGGAGGCAGAAGGGGGGAAGGGAAGGAGGAGAAATAATTTGCAACTAAATGGATCACATCAACACTCTTTTTTTCTTTGGAGAAAACAAGTCAAGTATTGTAAACCCAAGCTCAAAAGCATAATGGCCTGGACAAATGCCATTTTTTGGCTGGTGTTTATGAGATTTTAATTTCATCAACAGTGTTTGCTTCAGGAGTTGTTCTGGCTCTTTCAGCTTCAACAGCCATTTCCTCTCCCCATGTTTGTTTGTTTTTTAATAATTAGATCAAAAGTACATGGTGTGGTAAAAAAAAACATTATCAATATGACTGAGCTTGGGACAGGTGCAATATTCCCAAGTGGTAAAGCAGATCACCCCAAATAGTGACACTTAGCAATATGACTGCTTTTCATCCAAGATGTGCAATTCACTTTGCCTGCACATAACACGTTAATATCTATATCTATAAAATGAAATTTAAAAACACTCCCTAAGCCTCTCTCAGATGCATCTAAAATACATACGCATGCACATATATATATGTGCGTGTGTATTTATTTCAGATACATCTGAGAGAGGTTTAGGGAGCATTTTAAAATTTAATTGTGGCTACTGGTATTTCTATTATGCCTCGGTCCCACCCTCACGGTGATGCTGCAGGCTTCCCTGGCATCCTGCTCCCTCTGGGCAGCCAACCGGGGCCTGGAGCAGGGCTGCAGCTGGGTGGGAGTGTGGAGCGTGGGGTTGGGGCTTGCTGCAGCACGGAGCCCTCGCCCAAGGGGCAGGCAACAGCGCAGGATGTGGGTGTGAGGAGGGAAGGGGTATGGGGACCCCCCATATGCCCCCTATGGCACACAGCCCTGGCAGGCAGCGGAGGGGGGAACTCTGCTCAACGCTGGTGCCTGGCTCCAGCCGGCAGTGAGAGGCCATTTGGTTCCCCTGCACTACCCTCACTGACAGGGCACAGGAGTGAAGCCCCACGCACTGGAGCAAGCTGGGGCAGGGAAAACAGCTGACTCCTGCGCCTGGGTCTTACCTCTTGTGCCCCATGAGTTTGGGAAGCGCTGGGGAAACAAACGGCCCAACAAAGGAGGCTATCCTCCTTGCTGCAACGTGCAGCGCTGGCCAGAGCCAGGCACCAGCACCCCTGCCTGCTGGTGTGCCATGGTAGGGAGAGGTGAGGCTACCCATGCAGCACTTGGCAGCTCACCAAACCTCAGACAGACAGATACACACACCCCACCCGCTCCAGCGCTGACTGTAGGAGAGGACGGTGTGTACCAGCCACACACCCACACCCCACAAATACCACACAACCCCCAACATACCCTATGCCCCCCAACACACAGCCACACCCCCTCGCAAACTCCCTCAACCACACGCCCCCACACAATATAAAAGACTAAGAATTTATCTTTGGGTTGTTATTATGCAATCACCTCTATATACAGTACACAAACACAAATCATGACAAAAAAAAATTTTGTAGTAAAATTCAAATGTTATAGTGCGTATTTGACTTTTAGTGTACTATTTCTTTTTTTCTGGTTTTAAGATGGCGACCCCCTCCTCCCAAAAGGAGTATTTCCAGGGGGGCAAAGGGAGGGACTTCTGGTGGCAAAGGTCAAGAGTTAGGCATGGGACTTCTGGTCCCAAGATGGCAGTCAGGGGGTGGGGCACTTAAAGGGGCAGGTCTACCCATGCAGCCCTCGACAGCTCATCAAACCTCCTTAAGCGACTCTCTGCCCAAAATAATTGTCTGCCCCTGATCTAACCTGAGCCCAATTACCAGGGATTCTGGTTTTCTCTGTTTAAAAAATCTGCCCCCTGCAGCTCCACCCCCGAATGCGCCCCTTGCAGCTCCGTCCCTCTCCCCACCCGGGCCCTGCAGCTGCACATTCCAGCCCCAGGCCCCAAGCCTTGTGCATTAACCCAGCTAAGCTGCAGCCCCAGCCCTTCTCAACTCTCACCATGGGGGACCTCAATTCTTAGCCCCCCTTTCTCCCCACCACTGCCAGACTTACCTGTGGACAGTTGCTCTCCAGGATGCCTGACAGCCATGTGTATGTGCACACACACACACACACATGGAGCCCCCTGCTGATCACCCTTCTCCCGCTCCCCACAGCGCCTTGCAAGTTGGAACTCTGTCAGCCCGCAAGAGAAAACCCACCATCTCCTGCATTTTGCTCCTTTAAAAGAGAAGATTTAGGTTTCACTCCTTCAAATGAGAAAATCCGGGTTTTACTGCATTTTTCCATGGTGAATGGAAAATCTGGATCCCTGCTAATTACCCATATTTGGGATTATAGATTCATAGATGTTAGGGTCGGAAGGGACCTCAGTAGGTCATCGAGTCTGACCCC